TTAATGGACTAACTTACTTGGGAGATTGATCTTCTGCATCAGCACTCACTTCAGGATTTTCATCTTCAGCGACCTCCATGTACATGTACAAGCACATAAGTACACAACTATACCATATGTATAATTATGAAATGGTTATAATCTGATTTACAGGCACCAAGTACAAGGGCACATACATGTGGTAACTGAGTTGGGAGGTGCCTGTAAATCAGATAATTATATCCTGTTGAGTAGGCAAATTACATTATTTGCATGAGCAGTAGCTAGCACATGGTCTGTAGTAACAAATGGTGGCACCCATCTGAGTTTGCTTCCCTCAGTTCCTTGGTCTTATTTAACAGTTATATGTAGTGCCATCAGTACTACCAAAAATTGTATGTCTGTAGGTCATTTGCTGAAAACCAGATTTTGCCATTGGTCCCCCAAAAGAGCCAAGTCATCAGTTGATAATTACAGCATTTGATGGTAAAGGCAGTGCATTTTCTGTAGTAATAAATTTAGAAGACAGAGGATTCATAGAACGTATCTTGATCAACTAAGCAAATCCTGAAAAATTACATAAAATCAATGTTCAGACACTATGTTTGAACATTGAAATTGATATACCAATTTTTATGAAACAGTTGGACAGAGTTTTTCACAGGATTTTTATAGTGCTCATGCAACTTCTTGTCAGTGGATTGTTGAGTCGCTCAAAAACCAGGTCTAAGATCCAGTACCACAGTACTGACGAAAATCACAAGGTGAGAATTCTCCAATTTATAATTTTGTCCTGATACATACACCTTATGTGGTGTTTCAAGTTTGAGCTGATGTAGATCTAGTTTGAATTTTTTATGAATTGTTGAAGTTGCTCAAAAATTTGGCCAAAGCCCCTATATTCTTATAGTATAGGCTTCTTTACAAAAATTTGTATAAATTGGCTAAGGTACATATACATGTTCTGTTGATTTAATTTGAATTTTTCATGAATTTGCTTTAAAAGCCAAGTACATGTAATATTGTAGTGCTTGCAAGTTCACAAAGTGTGCGCTATTTGTGGGAAACCCTGCAGTCTCACAAGATTAATTGGTTACTATGCTATATTGCTTGATTAAAATTTCAATATCATCTATGTTGGTCAGACAAAATGGTCAAAGTGTCCAATCTCCAACAGTTATTTCGAGCACTGTCATGTTTGCTTAACAATTTATCTGAGCCACCAACATTGTTAAAAAAAATTTTTGTGTGACAGTGACTGCTTGAAAGATCAACGGGTTACATTTTCTTGTGGTCAAACCACAGGTAATTTATCACAGATACAGTACTTCCATTGACTTTGATCCACCTACTTAAGAGGATATAATTCACATAGGCGCTAAGACATTCTTCATTGAATATCAATTTCATTATAACCACCTACCCAAAACATGCATTTTGATGGCAAGAAGTGCTCTACATGAATGGAAAATTAAGGCAAAGGCATCAAAATTAAGCATAAGAAATTAGCTCTGTAGCAAGAGCTACCTGGTGTATATGATTTAGAACCTGGCCTCCATCCTTTACTAAAAATCTACCTGCAAGTCTTTAATGTCGAATCCTGCAGCACTGTAACAAAGTAGCAAGGCATTGTTGCTGCCTGTGAGGAATTGTTATGGTAGGATATCATAATGTGTTTATAGTTATTATGGATTATCCATCATCACTTATGTTCTATTCTACTTATAGGTTTGCATTTGCTGATTAGAAGTGTGATACTTGACTATTTTAAGGAGTCATCAAATGAAACTAATAATTTATGTCATGATGTGTGCTCAGTGGTGAACCTTGCTAATGTTGTTGTTTGTTATGCTGAAATTGAAGCTATTGCTAAAAATACTGAACATTTTCTAAATAAGGGTGAAAAACAGGTATGTCATTTTAGTTGTAAATACAATACAATTTCTACATGTAAAATTATAGATCGCACAGGTACTCAGAGGCTACTCATACGACACTGAGAGTACTGACAAGCAACACATTTGGCTTCATGCCACCTTGCATCTTTCCAAGAATTCATAGAAATACCGAATTCGGCAAGCGTGGCTTAAAGGTTACTTAAATAGAACAATGAAAGTTGGAAGTTGCCATGGTAGAGTAACAAAAGTCGTATTCAACACATATAGTGTCAGTGAAACTGGTCAACAAAAATTTAACTCTGATAAAAGGGAACCAATTCTTCCTTTCAGCCTGTGCCACCAATATTGTTCCCACTGTATTTGCCACACTTTATGAACCTTTTTGTCACTCCTCATGGTAGTAATATTTAGCCTAGTGTATCGTGTATTCACAATAAAATTTGTGCTTAATTGCAATTACTTTGCCACCTTGTTTGATTTTTTTGGAATTTTAGCTTAATCAGACCTGTAGTGGGTACAGGTAATGTCTGCTGTTCGAAATTTAATGGCATCATTGCAACCAATGACACAGGTACTTAAGTTGACTCCTATAATTTATGTTACATGTATTTTGCCTTTCATATAGTACTGACATATGGAGAAATTATCGACTTTTTTCAAGAAGTCTGTTATGGTGATGCTAGTTGCATTGACAGCTCAACTCATTGTTTAAAGTTTCAAATTAATTATCCACACATAACTGTTTCTCAACCTGATCGTCTACTTAACCATATGAGACGAATTGCTGCTCCAACACAGCCATCTATAAGAGGTCCCAGTACATTATTAGGTTCATAACTTGAAGCATACAGGAATCAAATTTGAGCTCCTCAAGTTACACACCCTGCTGGTTCTAGCAAGGTATGCAATGATTGTCTTCAGCATTTTACTCATTTTTGTGGCTGTCTATGATGTTATAATTGCAATTACAATGAATTACTTTGTATGACCTGAATTATAATTAAGAATATTCATTTTAATGTCATTGGTAATCATAATTTATTTTTGTAATTGGAAAGTCAATTACCTCACAAAATAGTGTCTCATGCTCTTTGCTGTTATCATGATCGTTTATATGTAAATTGTGCACTAAGAAATGATCACATGCACTTATGACATAAGAATAAGCTTACTTGCATACTTGTGAATTGGCTGTAGCTAAAGTTCCTGTTTTTGGTTTTGGGCTAGCAATCTTTTTTGTATTTAAAAAAATAGTAAAAAATTATTTTGCTTCAGCCTGTGTTTCACAGATATACTTTCTTTCTTAATACGTTCTGTAGTGTTTCAAATAATCCTATTAGTGTATGGCTTGACTGAGAACCTAGTCTTTCATCAAGTACAGAACAAAGAACATCCACTTGCTTGGTGAATACCTGATCATAGATTATACCAAGATCTGCACCAGTTCATTGAAACAACTCTCTCTCGAAAATTCACCAAGGTGTCTATTGGAAAGTTTATATGTCTGTTGATTATAATTGAAAATAAAGAGGGTGTCACCAAATTAATGCTTCTCGTTTTATCAACAGACTTGTTTCTCTGAAGTATTCAAGAACCTCAATTGTTAAATGTCATACAGAAGAATTTGCAGATTCTTCTTTAAAGACTTAAATGAGAGAGTGCTCAAACCTGGCACAACAATAGATGGTAGAAGTTGAAGAACTAAGAAGAGAACGTGACGCCGCAAAACAAAAATTAATTGACACAGAGCAAGTGCTAATGGAGACTGTCAAAGAGGTTAAAGTTGTAACGAAGTGTTTTGATGCTGCAAAAAAGTAGTTAGTGTCTTGAAAATATTCTTATGAAGCTGCTGTGAATGAAACTGTTTCACTCAATAAAGCATACTATGATATGGAAGAACAGAATATCTGAAGCATTATTATCTGTAGAGAAAGAATTACATACTATTACTGAAGCCAGTAAAATTTTTATATATATAGAAAAGTGGAAACTTTTGTTTCATGACAAAAAGAGGCTAAAAGCAATATTTACCAGCAGTTCCTCGATTTACAATTACCAAAGAACCAGTGTGCTGGAGACATGCGAGCTGATGAACTTGCCACTTTTAGCTTGGCCCACAAAGCATCAGCATTAGTCAAAAGGCAGAAAAAATGTCAGAGATGCTCCACATGATAAGAGATGGTACCACTCTTCAGCAAAAAAAATTAATGGTATTATTATTGATGATATTGTCATTTCTGTTGGTGAACAAGTTGACGGAACATCTGATTTCATTATAAATCATGTCTCAAAATAGCTACAGTAATTAAAAAATGGCCAGGGATCATGGGCTGCCCAATTGTGAAAGCATTAACTGGACATTGATATCATGCTTAAAGTGTAAGTGCAGTGATTTTTAGGGTATTTATTTTATGGTCTTTATATGATTGCCTGACCATAATAACGATGTGTTCTAACTCCCATTGTCTAAAAAAATTTATTCACTGAGATATGAGCCTTCAAAGATGCACTTTTTGCTTCCTGCCAATTTACTTCCTGTCGGTGGGTGTGGCTAAACGTGACGTCATAAGAGGCATTTATGCAGATAACTCCATTCCTCTATAGGTGGAAATAATTCTTTATTCTCATGCCTTGTAATGTAATATTAGCAATTTAAAGGTTGGGATTATTAGCTTTCATTATTCTAAGCAAGCAACTGCAAGAAAAAGACTCAAGATAGCAAACAAGAAGATTCACCAAAGTGTAGTATTTTGACTTTTTCTTGCAGTTGCATGCTTAGAATAATGAAAGCTAATAATCCCAACCTTTAAATTGCTAATATTACATTACAAGGCATGAGAATAAAGAATTATTTCCCCCTATAGAGGAATGGTGTTATCTGCATCAATGCCTCTTATGACGTCACGTTTAGCCACACCCACCGACAGGAAGTAAATTGGCAGGAAGCAAAAAGTGCATCTTTGAAGGCTCATATCTCAGTGAATAAATTTTTTTAGACAATGGGAGTTGGAACACATCATTATTATGGTCAGGCAATCATATAAAGACCATAAAATAAATACCCTAAAAAATCACTGCACTTACACTTTAAAGACAGATGGTAAACCCAGATTTCTGAGAGCCATGAACGTTCCTTTTGCATTGAGAAAGAAAGTTGAGAAAGAACTAGAATGCCTGGAACAAAATGGAATAATACAGCCAGTCCAACACTCAGAATGGGCCACCCCAATTGTTCCAGTAATGAAGGAGAATGGCGATTTTCGAATCTGTGGCGATTCTAAGGTGACTGTGAATCAAGCTATGATTATAGATACATGTAGTTACCCTCTACCTAGGATTGATGACTTGCTGGCCTCATTAGCTGGGGGGCAAGCATTTTCTAAAGTAGATCTGGCCCATGCCTACATGCAGATACAGTTGGAGGAAGAGGCAAAGCCACTTACAACAATTAACACTCACAGAGGTCTGTACCAATATAACAGACTCCCTTACGGGGTTTCATCTGCTCCTGTCATTTTCCAGAGAACTATGGAAGCCATTTTACAGGGATTACCAAAGGTATTTGTGTACATTGATGATATACTAGTGACCAGGCAAACAGAAGCAGAGCACCTCAAGAACTTAGATGAGGTACTTGGTTGACTAGAGAAAGCAGGAGTTTGTCTCAAGAAGGAGAAGTGCTCTTTCTCACTGCCAAAATTGGAATATTTGGGCCATGTATTGTCAGCTCAAGGCCTACAGCCATCACCTAAAAATGTCAAAGCTATACAAGCTATACCCAGACCAAAGGATGTTACTCAATTGAAATCATTTCTGGAAATGGTAACTTGCTATTTAAAATTTTTACCCCAATTATGTAACACTTTATCTCCTTGGTATATTTTGCTGTAACTGAGCTACAATGATAAATATTACAAAATTAATGATATTCACAAGTGCGACTTCTTGCCTAAAGGGGTCTATAGTAATTTTCAGCAGAATTCAGTGAGCAATTTGAGATCAGCAACAGTGGAACAAAACTTGCTAAACTTTTTCTCTACTTTCTTATGATAAGAATAAGCAAAAATACAGAACACAGAACTTGCTGCAGTTAAAAAATGAAAAATATTGTAAAACAATGATTTGTTAATCCTCATTACTTTGTGTCAGACTTTCAGTGTTCTGTTAATCAAAGAACTTGCAAAGTAATGTATGCAAATCAAAAGGAGAGAAACAGAAAGTATGATATTACTTAAAATTAGTAGTAAAAGTATTACAGTACTTTAAGGTCATCTCTTTTTTTTGAAATCATATCAAGCAAAGAAAAAGTATAAATCTCATCTTAATTGTAATGCTGTCTTTATACTCACCTGAATCCTTGTTAGAGCTCAATGTGGTTCCATCAAACTACTGCAGAGATATACACTGTATCACACTCAAAACGATACTTAATACGTCGATATAGGTAAGGTCCGGATGATTAGCAATTTCTGTCTTACTCGGTATAGCCATTTGCTTGTCATGGCTGCTATTTTTTAGCAATACATGTAGCTTAAGTAAATTTACATGTACATGTACAAGTAATTTCAAATTGGTTTTAGTCGATAGCTTCGATTGTGGAGATAAGTATTTTTAGAATGCATTCTTACCTTTGTGACTCTGTCTTGTCACATTTTGACTTATCTGTACTTTGTGCGCCTGTTGCTTTATCTTCTTCAAGTCAGCCTCTCTCAAGTTCAGCTACTGTCGTTGAAAGATCAAATTGAGTAAGTTTTGCTGTTACTTCTTTGTCTTTCACCAGTGGTTCATGTTTTTTTCTGCCTGTCTTTCTTTCTCTCTTTCTCTCTCTCTCTCTCTGAGCCTTTAGTCTCTTTAGTACTGTTTCCTCTCCTTTCTTAAAATTGCCTTGTGAACAGAGGTCAATGTTCTAGCAGTACTAAGTTTCTCTTTTTCACCTTTACTTGAAAGCCATTGTGTTGTTTGGTTTTTTGAATTTAGTGCAATATAATTGACTGGTATTTGGTTTTGTGATAGGAGTTTATCCAGGATTGCAAAATTCCTCTCTCGTGCTACTGTATGTTTTTTGTAAGCACGTATGCTACATGTACTTCTAAAGCAATTTGTGGGTCACTCACTGAGTGATACTGGCCACCAGGTAGATGATTAATCACTAACTTTTGTTTAGTAGATGCAAAAGACGCAAAAATAAGTTGCAATGCTTCTTGCATCAAAGCATTATACGGTGGTCACTGAAATAATTTTTTAGCAGTCATCAAAATTAGTGAATTTAGGAAACAGTAAGTCTTGATTACGTAGAGTAAGTGTCACTCAGGTCAAGAAGAATTTTATGATTCTATTTTCCTCCAAAATTGGACAGTTACTACATTGTAGTTTATCAATGATTCCCAGTGCTTTGCATCGAGCTACATGTACATGTACAACGTATATGCTTTAGGACATGAAGATCACTTGCATGTAATATAGCTCTTAGGAGACCATTTAGTATAGTCCATTATGATGCTTTACCAGATATTTTTACTTCTCGAACTGTGTTCTCATATAGTATACTCCTGCACCGTCAAAAAAATAATATAAAATGATTCCCTTTGAACAATGATAGAGGCATATATCACTAATACCTACACTCCGAAGGTATGCACATGTAAGAAAGTGAACTTAGCAGCCAGACTTTTCATATCTTCTTGAGTAAATTGCTTTGCAAGGAGTTTAATTTAATTGCTGTGTTTTGATGACTTTCATCAACAATAGTTTCTCTAAGTGCCAGAGTTGCTTGAGCACTCTCTGCCAACCCGACTAGATAATGAAGGTCACAAAAAAATTATTCATATAAATAATTTGGTCTGTTTGACCAATACACACCATGTCCCATTCTGCTGCTGTATCAGTAATAATACTCTCTCTGTAGTCAGCAAGTAGATTACAAAACAGCTTTTCTGCTGCATGCCTATCAGACATAGTATTCTTGATTTAACACGTTATCTTATCTGATGTCAAAGCACTACCAGCTTGTGTGCATACAGTGTCCATATCATGAAGACTCTTAAGGAATTTGTCAAGGGTTGTCTTGGTGGAGCCAGAAAAAATTGTGTCTAAGACCAAGACAATACTATTTGTCTTCAGTAGTTATATCATAAGCATATTCAAAAAATAACTCCAACAAACACAATTTATTGTGCCTTGTTGCCTATTTTTATTTAACGGAGAAAATTAAAAATTAGAAATTATTTATTTTGGCATTACTAATTGTAAACACAGAAATAAGTTTCTTTAAAATAATTGGCTTTCTATTTTTGACCTTGTGTAGAACATTTGTCTGCTTGGTTCTAAGTATATTTATGTAATTTAAAGTACATGTGCATGTGTATTTTTTGTAATGCATAAAGAATAATTTTCTTTTCACCATTTTAATTGATGGTAGAATGGAATAACAGTAGAATTGAGTCCTAGGCTTCTTAAAGCAGAGAGTGGAATTACAGATCAATCTTGACTGCATATACATGTACACAGCCAAGAGAAGCATCATCAAGTTCTTTGAAATCTTCTAGAGTACTCTTTTATCCAATATACATGTACATGTAAATGTATGTAACTGCATGACCATGTGTGGGATCGCATTGCTTTCTGTTCATTTACATGTACATGTACATGTACAGGTATGTGTAATGCACAAAGAAAAGCGAAGTAGAAATGCTACCTTCAAACTATATGTACAATGTACCTACAAGTACTCTTCTCTACTGTGTGTTACTTAGCCCTTTTTTGATGTACTTGTACTGTATTTTCCTTCAATAAAAGCCCTGGCGTGTATTTATTAAAATGGCATCTTCACATTGAAAAATATTACAAAAGCCAACAGTGGCATACAAACCCGTGATCTCATGCAATTAATTTTAGGAAGCTTAAGGAGGTATTTACAAGGTATCTATGCTTTTGAAGGGCTATTTGCGTATTTACATTGTATACTTTTAAGTTTATTGCTAACCCTGGCATTTACATGTATTTGTACCTGGAATTTATTTACATGTGTTTCTGTTATGCCTAGTTTACAATAATGATGCTGTTTCAGCGTACTATCAATTTTCTATTAAATGTGTGGGTGATTTGATCTATTGACACATGCTTTGCACTACATGTATCATGTCTATTGATAGCATGTATTGAAACATAGACATTTCATACTCCTTCTTTTCCACTTCTTCATCATGCCATTAAAGATTTTTAAGCACATGACTAAGATGTACATGTACAATGTACATTATAGTTCTTTAATTGTACAAATTAATGCTAGCACTTTTATTTTATAGGATTATGAAGTACTTAATCGATTAGGCAAAGGCAGTTTTGCTGATGTGTATAGAGCGAAGTGCAAAAGGACAAAGAAAGAAGTTGCAATCAAAATGGTAATATTTGAAGTAGTATTTACATAAATACATGTACTGCATTTCCTGAAATAAAAGCCAGTACGTCTATTTTCTAAGATGGCATTTCAACCTCGAAAAAAAATAAAAAAAATTGGCCTAGAGAGGGATTTGAACTGGGAACCTCATGCACTTGACTTCTGTAACTTTTGGCAGTACTGTATAGTGAGAAAATTTTGTGGCACTAAATTTTTGTAGATTTAGCTTTTTTCAAAATTCAAGAAATTAGAATTCGCGAAAATCAATTTAATACGGTTCAAGATGGCCAAAAAGTAGAAAACTACAAAAATTAAAGCCAAAAAATTGATTTTAGATGGATCCGCGAAAATTTTGGGCCAGGAAAATTTCTCGCTATATGGTATCCACAAGGCTACTGAGTCACTTGAAGGCAAGGTTTTTGCGTTTATTGTTCATTTCTTGAATTCTTTTGCTATCCCGGCGTTTATTCGCATCCAGCTTTTATTTAAGGATGTACCGTATAGCGTTTTAATTTTGCGGATTGATAAAAATCAATTTTTCACGGAAATAACTTGCGGATTTGCAATTTTAGTGCCACGCCTTTAATAGCAATTGAAATTTTAGCGGATCTTTAATTGTGCAGTTTCATGCTAACGGTGAAAATAGCGAAAGTTTAGCTCCTCAAAAATAAAGCGCTATACCGTATGGTACATGTATAGTACATACTTGTATGCAACCATGGTCCTGTCTGTCACTGTAATGTACACTGTCTACATGTACTTATACTTAAAATGACCTGTACATGTAAAATGTACTTGTAACAAAGAAGTTGCTGTATTTATATCTTGTAATGCATATTGTTTTGAAAAACAATGCTCTAGCAACCTTCCTTTTGTTGAATTTTTCTGTTATACTCTAACTTAGCCAAAAGATCCAGCTCTAGCTGCTACTTGTTTATCTCTCATTCTGAATTTGTATACAAATAATCTCAGTAGCTCTCAGCAGTCCAAAAAAGATTTTTGAGAAAGTTCATGTACATGTACTGTAGGTACTGCAGCCAGCAATCTACTGCAGCACAATTCCTCTCAAACACCCATATATGCACATTGATATAATAATATTTGAATATACCTTTTCCCATTTAGTATTATTTGACACAACTCAATTTGTGATGTCACACTATATTTTCATTGAGCTTTTCCTGTTTAATTTACTCTGTTCAACGGACATAAAATATGCCTCCCTAGCCCCTGCTCACTCCAAATTGATTTAATTTTGTACATGTATGTCATAGGTGAAATGCTGTTGTGCACACTATTTAATAATATATTGAATATACTGAACAAAGAGAGGGCTACTCTCAGTGTTTATAGTGTTTGGCTAATCATCTATTCTTTAATATCTTTAGTGGAGCCATTCGCCAATGGTGATTTGTTTTCTGTCTGTTAGTTTCTTGTCTAGACCTGCAAATTGTTGCTGGTCGGTTGGTCATGATAACAAACCTCACTGAAGTCAATGAATGCTAACAGGAATGGGTGAAGATTTTAAATATACAGCGAGTAGAGTTGTTTCAAAAGAGCTGGTTGAAGCAGCTTCAATAAGACCTAGAGTTAGTAATCAACTGAGTATACATAATACTGGAAGAATAACAACTTCAGCAGAGTGCTTTACTTCAATATTGCCCCTTTTTTCAATTAAAAAAGCTACATGTATGCATGGTATTTACTGAGTGCAGCAAAAAATTGTGAGTAATAGCAGCTGTGTATACAACTCGAGCTGTATGCATCTTCTGGTTAATTATAATCATTTCGAGGTTCCTTTGTCCATTACTTGTACTCTGCAGAGGGTAAAATTCAAGGAGATCCGTAATGTATGAGTCATAATTTAGTACATGCATCTCAGGTTTGGTATGCAGATGATCCTGTAACATTAGGTAAAGTTGACCATATTCAACACTTCTGTCATTTCTGATGTTTTCACAAGAAAATTTCATGTTGAATAGGGGCATAAAGAACAACTAAATTCCACTTCCTCTTTCTGTCACTGTTCCCGTGTATTGTGACAATGGTGCCTCCTCCTTGCTCAATACACATGCCTACAAAAGAACATGGTTTTGTTATACGTGAAGGTGCTTTTTGTCATGCTCTTTGCCTTTCCTACAGCTGGATTTATCTTTTCCTTGTGTTTGGGGTTTTTATGTGTCAGTTGAAGTGTGGTGGCTTCCTATCTCTGTGACACAATAAATTAAGGGACTCAGGGTCATAACAGAAGACCTTTCAGAGATGTGTCCTAACATGAAAAACTTTGAACACATTTTTCAAGCATTATTTATCGAAAAATTTTACTACCTGTCTGCTATTATACTGACAATAATGCCACGGCTGACTTTTCTGGAACCAGTCATTAATCTTTTATGACATACATGTACATGTACAGTATATGTACCTGTAATAAATAATCCATTAAAGCCTACAATAGGAGAAATGAAAAAGATAAAAAAATGCTAATATGGCCAAAGGATCTGTAATGTTGAGTTGAGCATGCCTCTTTTACACCACTATCCTCTACCACTGCAGGAGAAATGGGTGCACCAGCCTATACTTTCAATAAACACTTCACGTCTAGACTCTCTAGTCCTATGCTACTGTAATTAAGTCCTACCTCATTCTTTATCATGTGTCTTTGTAGTGTCAGATTGTCCCATGATCCTATCACTATGATCCTTGCCACACTTTCCTCTCATGATTGAGGTCCCTCAGAAGGGAGTGTCAATTGATCTACATGTACTTGTATTTCATGTACATGTACAATGTATAGTATAATTTATTTACTTTTGTACTGTACACTGGCATTCTCATACAAGCATTGTAAATATGTCTTACTTTTTGTATCATGGTTATGTTTTTATATGTATGTAAAAAAGCAAGATGTACATGTACACATACATGTTACGTACATGTAAGTGGTATGAAATGGTTTTCTATTTCTCATTGCAGATTGATAAAAAGTTAATGGTTAAGAAAGGTATGACTGAAAGAGTGAAAAATGAAGTTAAAATACACTCACATCTCAAACACCCATCCATCCTTGAAGTTTGTACATGTATTTGTTGTAATAATGGTATTAGTTTTTTTTAGTTGTATGATTTTTTTGAAGATTCGAACTATGTGTATTTGATTTTGGAATTTTGTCAGAATGGAGAACTTAATCGATACTTAAAACACAGGCAAAAATCTCTGTCTGAAGATGAAGGTATGCTCACTTTTATTGTTACTGAATGTGTATAAAGTTTACTGTTCATGCAATCTTGCTCAACTTTTAAATTATAATTATATTTGAGTAATATAGAGCATTGTAATTGTGTAGTAGGATTTATTGGCTTGAGACATTTTACTTTATTGATAAGTTGCCGTACATGTACATGTATGGAGTTGTTTGAAATTTTATGAGCCTTGAAATTTGTCACTTCACATGACATTATATGGAATGATTTCTGTAATGCTGACACATTACACATTGTGATGTACATGTACTTTAATAATGATATTAGAATTCAGTGCAGTTTCAGATTGTACATGCATTAATTTACATGTCCAAAGAAGCATGTGTTTGTATAGCAACTTTTTTGCAATTTTTGAATGCCATTTCTTAATTGGGACTAAGATTTAGAAAAACAATTGAACTGATTTTGTGAAAAGACATTTGTAGCTGTTTCTAACATGGCAAGTCCCTTGTACATTGTATATCTGTAGCCGGTTTCAGTTGAGTTGCCCAAGCACCACCCCTTATAACTTTTTTATTACTAATGCTAGTAACCTAAAACTTGGTATAGCTGCATAACGGGTTCTTCCAAAAATCTGTACCAATTTTTGAGTCTCTAGGTACTCTGGAAGGTTCTGAATGGGTTCTTCCACTCTAGCTCAAAGAGAGCTGCCATGATGAATCATTACATTCACATGCTACATCACACTCGTGAATATAATTTGCATCTCATAATTTTAAGAAAATTAATGTTTTTTCTTTTATAAAATAAAAGCAGACATACATTGTTGTATAAGGTCCACTGAAGAAGGAGGTATTCAACTAGCTGTCTATACTACTGGGAAACATCTGCTATACCTGTCCATAGCCTTCTTGATCGCCGTTATTCTTCATCACCCTCAACCTACATGTACATTGTTATCTTCCGTATTGGAGGTCTTTTTCAGCTTTATAACAGAAAACTGGTTTAACCAGTGGTAATGAAAGGTAGTAGTATCCAAAGCAAGGATAAAACAGACAATAAAAGGTCTTAGAGGTGAAGAAACGCTCAATGAAAGAGTTGCTTGCACTCTGCCACCATGTTTGTGTGTGGCTAGGAGTGACGTTTTGTGATGCAAACATTGATTTACTTCCTGTGGCAACTCAAATGAAACTGACTATACATACATGTACATATACAGTTACACACATGCACATGTCAATTACATGTAATGTGCATCTACATGAATCTAAAATACTATATGTTGCACATTCACTTCATGTGTCTGCTGTTCTTTTTATTTTAGTGAGGATCATATTAAATCAAGTAGTGAAAGGATTAATATATTTGCACTCATTTAACATTGTTCACAGGGACCTCTCACTCTCTAATATTTTATTAACATCATCAATGGATGCTGTAAGCTGTAGTACTGCAGTCATTTTGACTTACATGTGTTTACTGTTTATGTACATTTGTAGTTATATGTACATGTACATGTAATACATTACTGTACATGTTTTGCTCACTTTCATTTTTGGACTTGCTGTGTAGCCGAGTATTAAGTACTTTGGTTGTCTGTCTGTGATCATGAATTTTAATTAGATTTTTGAAAAAAATTTTTAATTGAAAAGCTACATTGTATAAGTGCTCTAGGCTCATAGATCTTTCTTCATGGGTAAGGTCCAAGCCTTCATTTATGAGCTAAAAATGTTTAAAGAGCAGGGTTAGGGAGAAGCTTGCAAAGTAAGGGAGAAAAATGTGAAAAATAAAGCAATTATGCTGACACTCTTGAGAGAGACAAAACCATTTTCCACTAAAAACTACTTCCTGTTTTATTAACATATGTAGAATTTCAAAGTCTTACTTGGTAGTGACTTATGCTCCAAACTCCATTCTGGCCGTCCGACTTTGTGAAGGGTTGAGGTGGAAATGTGGCAGGCTAGCAATACTAGAGTCTCTCAACTCTTTTAAATATATCTAGGCAGCAGTATTGTGCCATATTACTTGTCATAAACTACTCGTAAGAAGAAAAAACTTGAGCTTCTTCACTCACGTGTTATAGTAAGGCCATTTTGTTGGCAAAAACCATACCTCTATTAATAATTGGCAATTTTATATGCTTGCATTGCTGCTTGCATTTCTTAATGCATAATTTTTTGTTTGCTATTTTTTGCATGATATCTTAGGCAAATAAAATGTATGAAGACAACAGTATCTATAGCATCATAATAGGTGTGACGTGCACATGTACGTGTACATCTTCATTTTACATGTGCGTTGATGAGTGTTTGTCAATGTGAACACATATGTATATTACTAGTGCATTAAAAACAGTGCAAATTCATGAAAAAGATGTTTACATTATATCTCAAATGTTTGAAACAGTTTTTGCATTTGAGAAACATTTCCTTGTGGATGTTTTCATTTTGCAATAAATGATTGAAAAGACTTCGAGGATACACCAATTAAATACCGTATAGCGTCAAATTTTCGTGGTTGAAAATTTTCGTGATTTTCGTGATTGAATGGACAATCACGAAAATATTTTTCACGAAATTTAATTTTGATATAAATGTGGGCGTGTCCCATCACGCCTTTTATTTGTTTCTCGGGCACAGCTAAGAGTCTCTCCTATAAATATGTGATAGCCACGGATACACGAAGGGATTTAATATCGAATAATGCTACCACTCATGTTGCTTCTTCTCCAAGTCCAGCTGCAAGGCTAGCTACTAGCGGCCACATGGATAGGAGTGGTTTTAATCATTACGAAATTTTATTTAAATCACGAAAATTTTTTAACGAAAATTTACTTGAAAGCAAAAATGTATGGAATCACGAAAATTTTCACCCACGAAAATTTGACGCTATACGGTATTCATGTTTGAATGCACTACATATTTTTCATGCTGAGTAAAACAATGTTGTTTTTTGTTCCTTGAAGTGCATGTGTTTCTTTATACATGTATTGATCAGGCCTGGGGTAATAGTAATATGTAATAGTAATTGTAATAGTAACGATTACAGGGCACCAAGTAATAGTAATAGTAATAGTAATAGAATCTTTGGCAACAGGAAGTAATAGTAATAGTAATAGTAATAATGGTCAAAGTAATATGTAATCTCAATATTACATAGCTATTACTTGCAGTGTTACACTAATAAGTAACAATAGGAAAATAGCATGTTAGCCAGGAACTATTGCTCAGTACTGAGACTTTTTATCATAAATATAACAAAGCATTCTTAATTCGAAACTATAAAATGGCTTATATTAACTTCAAAATTAGATTATTTTTATCAGTAACCTATAAAAATCTATGGCGTATTGTAATAGTAATTGTAATAGTAATATACTTTGTTGTAATAGTAATAGTAATAGATTACTTTGAAAAAAGGCTGTAATAGTAATAGTAATATAATAGTTAAAATTTTCAAGTAATAGTAATAGTAATAGATTACATTTAATTGTAATTGACCCCAGGCCTGGTATTGATGCAATTGATATTCACGAGTGTGATGTAGCGTTTATGTAATGGTTCATCTGGTGGCTCCCTTTGAACTTATGTGGAAAAATTCAATCGCAACCTTCCAGAGTACCTAGAGACTCAAAATTTTTACAGGTTTTTGGAAGAACTAGTTTTGTATCTATACCAAGTTTCAAGTTGCTAGGATTAGTAATAAAAATTTTATAAGGGGGATACACCTCAAAATTTTTTTGGCTGAAATCATTTGATGATGAAGAAAGAATCATTGGAACAAGTGTAACAATGTAAAAATATTCCTGTAATTGTTTTCACCACCTTGCATGTAAAGTTGAGAACAGTTAAATACAGCTGAGAAAATATTTTTAAGTATTATTTTATTGGTACATGTGTACAGAGTAAAGCATACAATGTATGCTTACATTAGCCATATTACCTTTTTTGCAAACTAATACTTTGTTTACTGTAATTTACGTGTACTGTAGTTAGAAAGCTATTTATGAGGTGTATACGGTCCAATTCATTAAAATTGTTTTCTTGCACCCATATTTTAGCAACATAGCCTTAAATTTGCTAATATTTCAACACTAACTCTTGTTTTGTTCCCCCATCTACATGATATGTACGTCATTGCTTGACCATGGCCATACGTCTACATGTACATGTAAAATGTAATATGATTTCTTTTCTGAATGACTACAGACTACATGTACATGTATATGTACATTTATGTTTTGTCTGATATGCACATTTTGTAAATTCACTGATAGGTGCATTTCATGCAGGTGCATGTAATAGTACATGTACATGTATATGTACATGTATGTGTTTCTGTGACTGTGTAAAAACAAAACCTTATTTGTAGAAAATTGCTGATTTTGGACTGTCAGTGACACTTGACTTGCCAGGTGATAAGCATCATACACTCTGTGGTACTCCTAACTACATAGCACCGTATGTGATATGCTGCTATGAAGGATGCTTCTTAATTTTTATATTTTGTAGAGAGGTAGCAAAGAGAGAAGCTCATGGGCTTGAGTCAGATATTTGGTCATTGGGCTGTATGGTGTATACAATGTTAGTGGGAACTCCCCCTTTTGATGTAAGATTTTTATGTGTGATGTGATAATTATGGTTGTGGTCCTTATAGATACCTATAGTGCTTTATTTTGACTATTTTGTTGTAAAATTGTAATTGGCAGTTTTTAGTTTGGTGATTTTTTGTGTACACGTGCATTACTAAGCATGCGCATTAATGATTGGCGATTTTAATATTGGCAATTCTGCCTGCAAACCACCAATCGCCAAAATAAAACTCCACCAAATTAACGTGCTATACGGTGTTTAATGTCCATGTACTTTTGCATGTGCTGAACATGCACAAGTACATGTATGTGTCTTTTGTGAGGCCTTTGTTCTATGAAGCTATTGTATTACTTGTATATTTTGATTTTTTTTAGACAGATGATGTGCAGTCTACCTTGGATAATGTTGTGAATGGAGATTTTGACATTCCACAGTAAGTTATGGTATTAAATTTTAATTTTTGCATTGAATCTTACAACAAGATGTAGAATATGCATACTACAGACAGGTACAATGTGCATATTCATTGCAAAATATTGCATTCTGGAATAAATTTTAAGAATAAATTATTGGATGTCAGTTGTCAATGGTGGCAATTAAGAAATGCCAGAAAAAGTCTTTTTTTCTATAGGATTTTTTTCAGGGATTTTAATAGGGAGACTTGATGAAAATTGATAGTTACACATACATGTACATTACACATTTTTTCTTGGTTTTTTGCCTAATTGCACTAATCAACCAAAAGCTTAGTACTGCTACAGTGTATTATACACCTCATTGCTACTTACATATAAATTTAATTTTTGTATTGAACAACAGCATTATAGCAAGTATGAATGCTTTTATTTAATTTCCTGTTTGTCCTAAAAACTGGGTACAAATAAATGCTGGGGTCACTATAAAATTGAACTACATGTATAACAGTTCAGATCTAGGCTACATGTATACATTAATTTACCTGGCTGCATTGTGTTAAAAATGTTTTTCTGTGTTACAAGTACATGTAGGTCACGGGTCCAATCCTTATAGTCCACATAAATTTTATTTCATTTTTTTGAGTTTTGAAAGTCAATTTAAGGCGCTCTATGTCAATTTGTTTTACATGTATACATGTAAAAGGGACGTTTGATTCTAATACAGTTTTTGTTTATACTAATACAATTGAAGTGAATTAGTGTAAAATGGGCTGTACCCAGACTATTTTATTGGGTGGGGAACTTGAAAATTACCCTTTGCCCTTGTATGGTTCCTGGTTCCAGAAAACTGCTGGGCATTCTTGACAGCAATCTTTTTTGCCTTTGTATGGTTCCTGGTTCCAGAAAACTGCTGAGCATTCTTGACAGCAATCTTTTTTGCCCTTGTATGGTTCCTGGTTCCAGAAAACTGCTGGGCATTCTTGACAGCAATCTTTTAACTACTAGCCTCCATTTAATGTTTTTAGGCTTTGATAAATGTTATCAAGAAGGTAGCAAGAGGAAAAAGTTGTATTCCCTAGTAGTACAACTAGTTATCAAGAAGGTAGCAAGAGGAAAAAGTTGTATTCCCTAGTAGTACAACTTCATGTCCAACTTAGTTGCATATTTATTGTGTGGGTAGGATATAATTTTCTCATCCCAATTAGGTACATTACTACAAATTGCACTTCATTAAATTTACACGTATATGTAAGTACATGTAAACATTGTGAGATGGGATTCAAGTACTGTATGAGTAATGTAGTCAATAGTGTGCATGGAATGATGCCCACTTTTTTGAAAGAGTGAGGTCAAGAAGTGGATGAGGGTTGAATAAGATGCGGTATACCTTGAAATTTTCATGTGTCAATATTTTCGTGGTTTGCTCCTAGTGGGGCAATTCGTGGTTTAATTTTCAAGGTTGACAGTTTACATAGCCTGTAAGGTAATGGCACTTCAATGATTTCTTGGGTTTAAATTTCGTGGGTGAAAACCATGAAATTTACATTCCACGAAAATTTCAAGCTATATGGTGATTTACAACCTCACACTCCACTATATAACTTGTGGCGATGTCTTTAATACACCCACACACTATAGTACAAGTATAATGCTGTCCCAGTTATATTAAAATACTTTAATTTCTATCTATCTTATACATGCATGTACATGTCATATTGATTATTGTAGGTATCTCTCTGCTGAGGCTCAAGATTTAATAATATCACTTTTGAAAAAAGTAAAAGTTTATGCTATGATTCTATACACTAAAGTTGATCATACAAATACATGTACATCTACATGTACATTTTATTTATTGTGCACTACCTATATATTTATGCTATTTTGTGTTGTGAAATGTACATGTACATGTGCATTCATGCATGTACAATGTCAGATGGAACATTTAGGTCACTGTTTAACTTTAATTTGCTCATGTAGTCTCATTTTAAAGTTCTATTGTGGCATTTATGATTTTTTCGACAGCATTTAGATGAGAGACAAACGAAAATTAAACTCTTACAATCAGTTGTAACCTCGATAGCAAAAAGAATTTACATGTACTTCTTGTTTTAGTTGTTGATTGTAGTTCCTTTAGAGAACTAGTACTTGTATATTGAGCTTTTGAATTTAGTAAACAAGTGAGGTGATAAATACTAGAGATGTATCAAGCCCTTTTGGGCTTAAACCCAGATTGTGAAGTACTTAAAAGTGGTTTAAAACCTTTTAGATAAGAAAGAGCTTGGGCTTGTATTTATTGACAAGTTGTATATTCCTGAGCTTAGGCTTGAAGCCTTAAAACGCAGGTACATGTATTTTTCTCATCTGTAGTGATGTCCTTGTTATCAGTAGTTATTACACAACAATAGATGGACAATTAAAATAGTTCATGCCCCATTTAGTGAGCACATTACTAAAATTGAGAATGGAAGCAAGCATGGAAGCAAAGCTACCTGCAATTTACGTTTGTTAATGATTTAAGTGAAAGGCTTGTAAAGGAACTAAATACATGTACATTTGATAAAAAGCTTGAGCTTGTTATTAAGCCCAAGAGAAATTGTTATAATTAGGCTTAAGCTTGTATATGTAATTGCCTGTTTAATGGATGGCTTGGGCTTGTGCTTAAGCTCTTTGATAGTGTAATTAAATACATGGCTAACTATGCAGTGCACGTTCCAGCAACGTGTTGTGATGCATGTACATTTGACATGCATGTAATGCAAAAGGGTTATATGTGATAGACCTTGTACATGTTCATGTGCATTAGCGTTGCCGCATATACAACGTAGCATGTTTTCATTGAAGAAAGAAATTATGATTCACTTCTCAAAGCAACTCCATAGTATTTCGACATGCATGTACAGTACTTTGCATTTGCTGGTGACCTAAAACTTTTTCGTGCTGCAAATGATGAATGTTCCATTTTCTTGTTTAATCACTTTCTTTTTACTTTTAACTTTCTAGCATCCTTCAAAGCGACTGACTTTGCAGCAAGTTCTATATCATTCCTTTACTAAAGGGGTACAACAAGAAAACGTGTTACAGAAAAGAACCTTATCTCTTACTACACCTGTGATTGCAACCTATCGGGGTGACTGCCAGTTTCATGGTAGTCGTGTATTAAAGAATATTCAACTTGAAGCACCTGCTTCAGTTGATAGTGGAAATGTTACTTTAGCAACTAATTACTCTGGTCCCACTAGTCGCTATAGCACAAGACGTGGTCCTGTAAAAGCAACATTTTTTCCTTCATCTGGCTCTCATTTGCAGGAAGACCAGTCTCGTAAAGCAACTAGTGGATTACATCATAGGAGAGCTCATAGTCTGGAGGATGTGTGTAGAGGCAATGATGAGATTATGAAGCTTAGTAACTGTTTTTCTGGAGAACAGAGTGTTTCATTTTCATTAAAGGACAATGATGTTCCTTCGTCTTCTGTTTATTCTCAAAGAGATCCTGTTACATGTATATCTAGAAATAGCTCTTTAGACAGCTCAGTTAGTGAAAGGAGAACTACTGCTAACTCAACCATGGTTAGTAAATGTATCTAGAGTTAGTGACAATGTGAATTGTAATTTAACACACATGTATGTACATGTGGGTTTTGTTGTACATATACATGTACATGTAAGTAAAATTAGATTTCTTTCTGCCTTGTTTTTGCCTGTTTTCTGCCATTTCTACATGAACGTATGTGTATATCAGATAATTTGCATAGCCAGTGCTACCATTTATGCTCTTGTTGTGTATGTTAGTGTAAAATTACAAATGTTTAATTCAACATTCACATGTACATATACAATGTACATGTACATGTAAGTGTATTTTGTGTTGTAAAATTAATTATGTTCCAAAAAAGTGTCTTATGACATACATTGTACATTTCACATATGTAACTTATACGTGTTCATGTACATGTATGTCTATATACATGTATGCATATTTACATGCATGTACATGTACATGTACTTGTACATGTAGATTATAAAATTTTATTTAAAATTTTTGTGGTTTTTGTATTATTTATGAGACAATTGTAATCGGCATGCCTAACCAGGCAATATGTACTCATGCATGATTGTGCAGAGCATATCACTCATCCTCAGTGAGAAGTTGAAAGGAAATTTATTTCTCTTCGATGATTGAGGTGAAAAGCCTAGCTAGTAACTTAATTAGAAGTTACCACCTTTGCTAGTTCTGTCATTCCACTATGATTCAATACTCTATAAAGAACATTTTATGCATGTACAGCACATTCTTTAATGAGCTGGAGAGGTTTCTGGACAATAAATCAGTATTATTTTGCTATAAGTAGGCAAGTAGTTCATGTACATGTGTGTAGCCATTTTTTCGCAATGGCAGTACCACATCCACATCAATCAAAATATTTACGACGTTTTATGATGTCATAGTTTAGATAAGCACATGTGGTCGAGTGCCCAAACTAATAATTCTTCTTTGAAAATGCTAATAGAGTGAGATCTTCTGATAATGATGGCCTTTATCAAGACTAGTTGACTCCAGGAGCTATTGTACTGCTTATCAGGAAGAACAGGACTGTTTCAAGAGTTAAACAACACAGCCAAAATAGTGGCCATATCTCTATGAATATCATTATGAAACGTCATTAGTGACGTAACTACATTTTTCAAATTCCAATGCAGCTGCTTCCACTTCCGGTCCATTCTCAGTTGGGACATAGTATAGCTTCCTGAGCATGTGAGCACTCACTGTGGCAGCCATGTGACTAGGCGAGACCATTGAACTGTATACTTGTAGGTGCATGTACATGTAATGCAGTGACCAAAAATACCTATATGTGTACCTACAACTAAGTGTTCCTACTGTGTGCTGTTTTAAGTTTTTAAGTATTGTTCTACTGCTATATCTGTATACTTGATGCTGAAGTTACATGGAAAATTTTTTTGTGTAGACTTGTACCAGAGTGCCTGCTTTTACAACTAGTCGTCTTCATCCTATTAGCCAACAGACACGATCTGCTTCAGTTAACATTACTGATGATGGTGCTGTTACTATTCAACAAATCAAAAGTAAAGAAATATTTAAAGTTTCATCAGATGGACAGACAGTGAGTATACAGTTTATGTGTACACTACATGTTAAAGTGAATAGATGTATGTACATATAATCATGATGGACTTTATTTGATTGTTAATTTATTGTATGCTGGAGCTATCATTGCTGCATGAACATCTCATTTTAATTTTTTGTTTGACTTAAGGCATGTGCAGTAGTACTTTGGTGTTTCTAAGTCTATATAACCTATACGTGGAAATTTCCAAGGGAATAAATTTTTGCAAATGATGAATTTGCAGGTTTTGCAAGGCCGCAATTTGTTTACCATTTTGTAATAATTTGGAGAATGAAAATTAATTATTATAATTTGGAGTGTTAAAATTAATTAATTACCATTCACAATTGCAGGAATAATGTAATAAATTTTAATTATACACACACCCATTTGCTAAGATGAATTTATGCTTGTTTTAATTTGTGAGTGACCTCTTGTTTCGTGAAATTTGTGAAAATTTATCCCCTTGAAAATTTCCACATATGGGGTATTTCTTTTTCTGAAGAACCAAGTTTATCTGTATAGTACAGCTGTAGTAGTTGCTTATGTTTTAGTATTTGAATTAAATATACATGCATGTATACAGCTCTTTGATTGAATTCATAGATTGATATAAGCACAGTGGATGAAAGTTCAAATTCTGTTTCCTACTGTTATGAAGAACTACCTAAAAAGTATTGGAAGAAATATAAGTTTGCTGCACAGTTTGTGAACCTTGTGAAATCAAAAACTCCAAAGGTACATGTATGTGTACATTTATTCTTTTGTACATGTATATGTCTAGTACCATAGGTCAAGTTACATGTTTTTTTTGTGACTGCTTTTATTTGCAATTTTATGCTGAGCCCAGCAAATACCATATTATACTCTGAGGTGATTTGAATAAAAAAGGTGCCGTATTGAAGCAAGGCACCCAGTTGCTGTGCTCTTGAGTTGTTGTACTTGGTAATACGTATCCTTGAAATTGTCATAACTGATGGAAAACAAGTTGCTATTGGTGGGTTTGCTACTGAGCTTGGCTCTACTGAAGCTGCTAAGGAATTTTTGGTTAGTGGACTGTAAAGGCCAATTTACACGGCAAAATGAAATAAGGTAAAGGGCAATGTACAAGGGGCAAATTAACGTATATACGTTACAACAGGAAGTGCTCTATAAACCAATGACCACCGTTTAAGTGAGGTAAGGATAGAAATCAGAGGAGGTTGATCATGCGTCATGTGATAATGTCACTTCCTCTACCTACTCTCTCTTCATAAAAATGGAGTATTCTTCCTCTTTTTACTTAAGCAGCAGTTATCTCACTAATAATACCTGCAATTGACTCAAAAACGTCAGAGTATCCAGATAAAAGACTAATAAACATGATATAATTTTCTGATTGTAATGCAGTACAATATTCTTAAGTTGTAACTGGTTTCAGACTTCTTCACCTATCACATTTTATGGACAACTACAAGTCTGCATACACTTTACAAACAAAGAGTAAGGATAAGAATAAGATCTGCCCTTTATTTAAAAATGCAATATCTTTGCCTTTTCCAGAAAAGTGTGGTTTAGTTATTTGAGACAGAGGACAAGCTTTTGCTATAGTCGGTTTCAGTTGAGAAGAAACGACCACCACCCCTTATAACTTTTTTGTCACTAATGCTAGCAAGTTGAAATTTGGCATAGCTGCATAATGGGTTCTTCCGAAAATCCTTACCAATTTTTGAGTTTCTAGGTACTCTGGAAGGTTCTAAACGGGTTCTTCCACTTGAGATGAAAGGAGCCGCCATGACGAATTGTGTACGTCACTCCGATGAATATCATTTGCATCTCATTGCATTTAGTCAAAAATAATGTTTTTCATTTTTAAAATGAAACAAAACATATCAAGCTCTCTAGACCTACTAATATGTAACTAGGAGCTTTCTCTTGAGAATAATTCTTGCTATATCACTCCACAGCCTCCTTAATCTTAGTTGTTCGTCATTGCCAGTACACTCGTTGATTCAGCTGTATTTTGAGCTTTATACCAGCTAAAAACAGGCACCAAAAACAAGAAAAAGATAGATGGAGGTTGCAGCAACCACTGTAGAGGTACAATAGATAGTAAAGTAAGTTAAAGGAGAAGAAATGCTCGAAGAATGACAGAGCTTGCAGATTGCAGCCATGTTTGGGCGGAGCTACACGTGACGTTTTAATGACGAAAATATTGATTTACTTCTGTTTCTTCTCAACTGAAGCCGACTATACCTGCAGTTGACTGAACAGAAGTTATCATGTTTATTAGTCTTTTATCTGGATGCACTGAGGTTTTTGAGTCAATTGCAGGTAATTTTAGTGAGATAACAGCTGCTTAAGTAAAAAGAGGGAGAATACTCCTTTTTTATGAAGGGACAGTAGGTAGAGAAAGTGACATCATCCATGACGCATGACCAACCTCCTCTGGATAGAAATTAATCTATCCTTACCTTACGTAAACGGTGGTCATTGCATGGTTTATAGAGCACTTCCTGTTGTAACCTATATGTTAATTTGCCCATGTGCATTGCCCTTAAACAAGAAGGTGCACCATAAAACCATTCATGCAACGTCATGAAATCACTTTCGTTGATCACAGTATAAAAGGAGGTGCCCTGGCCATAACATGGCGGCCAGATTTAATGAAATTTGAAAATAACAAATTGGCTCCCGCACTGGCACTGTTCTTATCATGGCTAAATCACTAGCAAAATGCATTATAAAGACATTAAAATTAGCAAAGGTGAGAGAGTTAACCTACAAGCACACCTATAAAGCACAGCAAGGAGAGAAATGATGTAATTGACTTGAAGTAATAATTTTACATTATTATCAAATATTATCTTGTATATTCTGAAAAATCTGTCAACAGCCTAAGAAACACGGTCAATGATGCTGTCAGGCAGGTAATAAGTGATAGTGGCAAGGGAATAGCCCTCACTACTACACAGAAAACCAGCCCAAGAACCGCCACCACTGGGACCAGACAGCCCTGCCGACTACCGTATATCAGCCACCATCATCAAGTAGAAGTGGTTCCAGCAAAAGACTCCAACATGGTCCTCATTCAGATCCTAGTACTGGTAGCAGTTGTAACATTCAACGATCTACTGGAAGAAGTAAATACAAAAAATATTATTCTCAATTTTTAAAAATATAAACAATATAGGGTTGAATAGATAAGGGGATGGTGAGGAGCCTCCTCTATCTGTGTACCTCTTCCCAACTGTACCCAGTGATGCCGACAAAAATATGGCAGTACTGTGATGGTAATATACGAGCACAAGAAAAATGCTAGTATATGAGCCTAAAAATATTAATGCCAGCATATGATTACTTTACATTACAAATAATACTTCTGTATCTAGTGCCTAATAAACTTGAGTTACTATTACAGGACTCACAACTGGCATTGAATCGAAATTCAGCACAAATCACGTGACGATCTAAAATTATGAATAGTTTTGACGATGTTGATAATAATAGTAATAATAATAATAATACTAACAAAGAATACCTGTCTGTAACTGATCATCCTTCGGCCGGTCAACCATACCACACTAACATTAACGTATGTTTCCCAATAGCTGATCCTATATCTATGCACAAAATGGCTGCTCTTCGTCCCCATCACCCATACCTTATTTATATATAATCACTAATTTAAACACATTATAACTACCTGAAGTATTGAGCATAGCAGAAGAACTATTAGTATCATGTGACAGAGCCTCAGAATGATTCACTTTTTAAACTAAATCGGCGAGTAAATGAGACCGCAGTTCCAGTGTCTTCTTTTAGTGGCTAAAGACCCCTTAACTCGATCAAGCCTAACTAGAACTGGTCATTGTCTTCTTTGAGAGTAAAATGGAAGTCCATTTGGTACCAAAACCCCTTTCTTCCTGCGTTTTTCCTTGAAGAAGCAACACCATCTAGTGCCGACATTTTTACACATGAATAAAACGGAAACCACCATGCCCAGGGCCCCACCTTTTATACCGCACCTTCTCGTTTAAGGCTATACGTGAGACAGGAAGTGCTGTATAAACCCAGGGCTATTGACAGGGTTTTAGGGGCCTTGGTACAAAGCACAGGGGAAGTGTACAAGTGGTGCGCGAAGTGCGCAGGAAAAAAACTCACATATTAATTAGGGGCGTGGCTTCCGGTAGTTATTAACTAAACCTGGTTTATTAATTAGCTTTAGATCGTCTGCATGTTTTTAGTCAAAAAGAACTCTCATGGCTTTAATGCTTGCAAAATGTCTAATTACATCTAATTCACTGTCGTGGCAAGGTCATTTTCAATGCTTAGTAATAGTAGAGGTACACAAGTTCTGCAAACGGTCTTGAGTGTCTTGAGCCATAATTGACGAGTTTATTAATTTATTATTATTAGTTAAAACATAACTATTATTAAAGTTAAAGTTATTATTAATAAAATGGACCCTGTCAGACAAGGACAAAAACTTATAAAAATGAAGAAATCACTCAACAGACTCCAGTATATTCAGTTTCCTTTCTTGTAGATGTTCATAAGTAGCTAACAAACTACTTTTGTACAGGATATGGGGGCCCTGCCCTCTGCTAATTTTTAGGGGGCCCTGGTTTTTTGTGCCTGCTACCCCCCCAGTCAACGGCCCTGTATAAACCAATGGCCACCATTTACATAATGTAAGAGTTGAACTTATCTCTACTCTTAAGTTTGGCCATTGATTTATATACATGTAGTACTTCCTGTCTTAACGTCTTAATGTATGGCCTTACCTTAATTTTGCAGTGTGAATCAGCCTTAAGGAGGATTAAGTGAAACCTGGGCAATTAGTACAGTGTTACATGTATATAGGCGGTAGCATATACACTATTCATATACCTGTACATATAAGTTTTGAGGTTGATTGTTCAGAATAACTGTCGTTTTGATGATTTTCAGACACTTATAACTCTTTTCCCTTACTTTATATGGTCTTATAACAGTTAATGGTTTACAATGTACGTGTATATGAGCACTCCTTGACTGAGCAGTTCTTCTGGTACCTACATGTACCTTCAGTGGCGGTGCCAGGTTAATGAAACAGGGGGCACTGTAGACAGGAAAGGGCACTATTATGTAGAGAAGAGTCAGTCAAAAATGGCTTGGGAGGCATTTACATTAAAATACTAGTGCTTTAATTAGATTTTTGCCAACAGGGTGGGCCTGTGTCCTCCAGGCCCCCTTAATACCACCAGTGCCTACCTTTAAAGTGGACTTTAATGTAGTGAAAGCATTTGAGAATAATAGGCCGAATTTCTTCTTATATCGTCTTATGTTGCTTCATTAAACTTTTAAACCTGGGAAGCTTAAGTTGGCTTTTACATTATTCCTTTACCCTTGGGTCAAGGACCTCAAAGACAGTTTCAAAAAGAAGCAAGGACCGAAAACAAAAATGATGACAAAATCCTGCTGTAGAGTTCAGTAGAGGTGGGGGATACAATACCAAAGTACTATACTTGGCTTTCGATGCCAAATATATGATACCAAATATGGGAATTGAGTAGAATTGTGATCACGTCCAACCCCACCTACATGTACTTTGACGTCATAATGATGGCCATACCCTTTTTATTATTACGAAGTGTGGCTCATTTCTTTAAATTTTGTTAAATAACTAACTGTAACTTATTTGTGCATGTGTAGTGACACTCAATACCATTGATACTGATACTTAGACTACTTGGTATCATTATTAATCAAAAATATCTGTATTGCTCACCTCTAGAATGCAGCCACTGCACTTGATTGATATACATCTTCAGGCTGTTTGGGAAATAAGGCTAATGTGAGAATGTAATGGACTCCTCTATTCAGTCAACCATCAAATACTTGACCAGACTTGTCGGGCAGCAGTCTAGAAAACTTTTTCTTGAGAGCCTTCATTGAAAGATGCATGTACTTCTTCAGGGATTTTGTGGAATTTGGCTTCAGGCAAGCATTTTATTTGGCTTCTCAATAAAATCAAGCATAAGATTGTGTATACATGTATATGTACTGTAAGTTCAAGGCCGTATTCAATAAATTACAAATAAATAGGTGATTTCTTCCACTACCGACTCGGATCTTGCTCCTGATTTGCTCTGCAAGTTCTTATGATTTGTGTAAACACAGCTAATGAAATTGCTATAACCTGTCTTTGCCACCTTGTTTTTTATGTGACCACAGACGCACTGGTAACTTTCAGACACGTCTGTTGACACAAAATAATGTTTTAATGCCATCTCTTTGTTGCAATTGCAACAATTTTGTTGCAGTTTTAGTCAATTCTTCTACTGTCTCACTTATTCTGAGCCTTGCTGAAGTACTGTATTATGTGGTTAATAATGTGATAAAAATAATGTCATTTATTGTATTGTCATTAATCTATTTCCAATTGCCTATAAGAGTATTACTCCTTCCATAAAGGTGCTCTATGCCTTCAGCATCTCATTCATGATCACTTGACAATAAAAAGGTTGTCCTTATTTTTGATCTTTTGAAGCACTGAGCATCTAGTAATTAATATTATTAATGAGCTGCCATGTTGTAGGATTGGTGTACAGAGATGAATGGGTTTATGCAAGCTCTGACTAACACAAAAAGTAAATTTCGTTGTGGCTTGCTTAATTTACTTGAAAAAAGTAAAGACAGAAGTGCATTTGGCCGATTTCTTTTTGTGCATCTAATCTTCATGCAACTTGGTGGTTCGTTAATGAGATTAAGTGTAAAATGCTCAAGTTCAGAAAAAGTCTATGGTCTATATTACTCATGTTTAGTATACCTTAAGGAGACAGTTATTAGCGCGTACTTATTTTAGCGATTTTCATGGTACTGACATTTGGCTGGTACTTACATGTAATTTAGCGTTTTTGATCATTTGGTATGCATACCGGTAACTAGTAAAGAGTGTAAAACACTTGGGGTGAGCCTAAACAAGCTATAGTATAGATTATGTGCTGTGGTCTACATGTATGAGCAAGCAAGGCAATTGCACAAGTTTAAATGCAGTAGATTTTGTTGCAGGCTCAAATTGCTTCAAGCTTGATCACTGACTCTGCTCCAAAAATGTAAATTTATCTTGCTTACAATTAAAAGCAGTGACTGAACAAAGAAGATTGTCATCTGCTGTGTCTAAGTCTTTTGGACAGCAGTTCAGTTTTATCTTGCTGACTGTTTGCTGTAAATAAGCTCAGAGTTGCTGACAGCCGCCATTTTATTTATTGTGACCACGCCCGCTTTCAATGAAGTTATCAAAGTTAGCACGGACTTAAGTTAACGATTTTTTAAAAATCGCTAAAATTCGCTAAATTAAATACCCGCAAACAATTGTCTCCTTAAGGTATACATATATTTTCACTTTTATTAGACTTGTATAATAGCAAAGCTTTGCAAATGTAACTTGATCTGTGATATTTAGCCATTCAACTTCTTGTGCATGTAGGTAACAATGTATACTGAGTTTGCGAAGTGTTTATTAATGGAAAACGAAGAATTTGAAATGGTAATGTATAATGGTACGTGAGTTATTTTAAAGATTACATGTAACTGTGGACATGCTTATATGTGTATAAAATATGTGATGTTTACATTTAAATGCCAGTCACTGATATCTTGCATTTATGCTATAGAGATTATTTACCTTTGTATACAGTTACGAGCTTTCTCATGTTAAACCTTAATCAATTGCATTGGTTGTTTTTACTTAGACATTGTTTGCATGTACGTTAGAGCTACAGTAGAAGACAATAAAAACTTCGCGTTCCGTTTACGTTGAACGGCCGTTGGGCGTTTCAACGCTATATAAAAAACGTTTACTTCCGTTTACGGTCCATTTTTCCATGGAGCACGTTTTTACGTTGGCTCAACGTTTTGTCCTTGCCTCCTTGGTTTTCTCGAGTTTTCTTTACCCCATAGATACTACTATGCTCGTTCTTGACTGCCGCTCTGGAGATACTACTGTCATATCAGTTCAGTGTGGACCTCAACTCAAGGAGACGCTGTGTGAAGTCGAGGTGTGAAGTACTCGTGTCGTTGAAGGACGGGCCACCAGGCCGGTGTAGTGTCAATTTATTGTGTGATAAGCATTAGTTATCAGTATTATTATTATTTCTATCATTATTCTACTCTTACTTTCAAAAACTTGTATTATATATTATATTTTATAAAAGATTCAAGCGTCATGCATTTTGATCTTGGTACTAGCAGGTCTATAATTACATGATTTTATTTTATAAAATGATAATAATATAATAGCTGCTTCTTTGCTTGACAGAGCACTTTTTCTTGTGACTACTTCTTGTCGTCCTATTTAATCATACAACATGAGATAAGGTGGGTGAATTATATAAAATGCATGTCGCTACGTTTACAACTTACCTGTCTCGTTTTATCATCAACCATGGCTCATAGTCGTTTTGTAAGTGTATCTAAGAAAGCCTGACTCCTGAAGAAACTGTCAGAAAAGAGAAAAGTCGAGCAACGCTTGGAGCGTTGTTCATGATAATGAAAACGGTAGTGCCCAGACCCAACGGACCATGAACGGAACAACCACAATAAAAACGGAAACGGCGCTACCGTTTAATCGCCGTTCAACGTAAACAGAACGCGAAGTTTTTATTGTCTTCTACTGTATATATCAGTTATTGCTTCTTCTTTACATTCATTCTGCATGTACCTTTGTTAGCTTTATGTACTCATTTACAGTACCTAACATCAAGTGGCTTCAAATTCACCTCATATATAATAAGAGCTCAACCTGCTTTTTTATTATTTAGGAGCAGTGAAGATTATAAATATGTATTTGTTATTGCTGTGTGTGTGTGATGTGCCATTTTTGTTGGAATTTAACTTATTTTAAGCAATATCATGTTTTCTGCACAAATTGTGTAAAATATTACATATACTTCAGTTCTTGAGATACCTGCATTATACTAATATTTTATAGTTGTGTAGGTATATGTATCTTGAAAACTACTTGAATAATAGAGTGAATGATAATGAATGAAATAGGTTGAGAGAATGAAGGAGAATGAAGATAATATGTAATGTTTTCTGAGTTTGATAATGTATGTGATGCATAGACATAAAAAAATTATAGTATGAAATGATAGTGAAGAATAGATATGAAATTGAATAGATTTATATGAAGGAAATGAGAATAAATTAAAGTCTAGGATTAGTAATTGTGCAAATTTGTGAATCTGTTAATTACATGTACCAAGGCCCTTATTGTCAACACTTGAAATTTAGACGATTGTTAGGTATGTACATGCACTACATGTTAGTACATTTACATATATGTCTATTGTAGTCTTTTTTATTTATAGGGAATAAATATCATTTAGGTGGAAAAGCAACATTAAGGTGTACCATTTTGCAGGATGATAAATTAACTTCGTCTCTATCTTTCGAAACAGTTCAAAATATACCAGATGAATATCAAGATATTTATGCTTCTGGTATGAAGGTAAAGAAGCCTTGTAGATGTACATGTCTATGCAGTTTACAAATCTTTAGTGTATGAATAGGTGTAAAGATGTGGAAACTGCTATTAGGTCAATTGAAGAGTCAGATGAAACTTTATTACCTATAATTATCAAAAAGTATGAAGTAAAAGTAATTGTATTATGCATGTACATGTAAGTAGTGCAGGTGCTCTAACAGTTTATTTCTTAATTTTTGAATCCAAGTGGATTGTACATATGCATCAGTAGCGGATTTAAATACATGTACAGGTATGTACCGTATAACCAAAAAATTTGGAGGGAATTAAATTTGGTAAATTGGTGTTATGATAGCATTTCGCTAAAACAATCTGTCATTTTCAGCAATTATGTGTATGCTCAGTGGGGCCACAAATTTGCCTAATTAAAATCACCCAAAATTAGCAATTCATCAAATTTTAGTCCATCCAATATTTCTCACTGTACCGTATTTATGCGTACATGACATGTACAGTTTGTACATGTTTCTACTTATGCATGTCCATCTACCATAATGCACCTTTTTGCACACAAATTTTTGTTATGTAGATTCAAAATTTTAGTATACCAAAATTTTTATAGCACAAAAATTTAGTCTGCTACAGCAAATTTTTGAGATATTAGCTTTTTTACTTTGCTTTTTCTTGGCATTACTGATGTGTGAAGATAGAAACAGAGACCAATTTACGAATATTAAATAAAATCATTAAATTGGCTACTTTTGTGAGTACTGCAAACTCCACTGGACACCTGAACATAATTAAGAATGTGTCTGTTGACTATATTAAGTCATACATGTTTTTAATGATCGTGGGCATAAAATTGTATAATTATTATGTTGATATAAAATGCACAAAAGATGTTTGTATGAGATTTTATACAGTACAAGCCAATAAAAACTTCGCGTTCCGTTTACGTTGAACGGCCGTTGGGCGTTTCAACGCTATATAAAAAACGTTTACTTCCGTTTATGGTCCATTTTTCCACCGAGCACGTTTTTACGTTGGCTCAACGTTTTGTCCTTGCCTCCTTGGTTTTCTCGAGTTTTCTTTACTCCACAGATACGACTATGCTCGTTCTTGACTGCCGCTCTGGAGATACTACTGTCATATCAGTTCAGTGTGGACCTCAACTCAAAGAGACGCTGTGTTAAGTCGAGGTGTGAAGTACTCGTGTCGTTGGAGGACGGGCCACCAGGCTCGGTGTAGTCTCCATTTATTGTGTGATAAGCATTAGTTATCAGTATTATTACTATATTTCTATCATTATTCTACTCTTACTTTCAAAAACTTGTATTATATATATATTTTTTATTTTATAAAAGATTCAAGCGTCATGCATTTTGATCTTGGTACTAGCAGGTCTATAATTACATGATTTTATTTTATAAATGATAATAATATAATAGCTGCTTCTTTGCTTGACAGAGCACTCTTTCTTGTGACTACTTCTTGTTGTCCTATTGAATCATACAACATGAGAATAAGGTGGGTGAATTATATAAAATGCATGTCGCTACGTTTATGACTTACCTGTCTGGTTTTATCATCAACCATGGCTCATTGTCGTTTTGTAAGTGTATCTAAGAAAGCCTGACTCCTGAAGAAACTGTCAGAAAAGAGAAAAGTCGAGCAACGCTTGGAGCGTTGTTCATGAAAATAAAAACGGTAGTGCCCAGACCCAACGGACCATGAACGGAACAACCACAATAAAAACGGAAACGGCGCTACTGTTTAATCGCCGTTCAACGTAAACGGAACGCGAAGTTTTTATTGTCTTCTACTGTAAATATAAAATGCACATGTATAATGCATTTACTTTAGTTTTATAAAATCGTATATAAACATCTGGTAGGCATTATTGACCTTATGTTTTGTATGTTGTTGTGTTTTATATTATGTGTTTTGTTTTGCTAATCTGCATGTATACTAATGCATGCTAATAATCTACATAATATATACTACATATACATGTATATAAAAATTTATTATAATAGACGGCCAGTTAAGTGTGTACCTCTGTTTTCCTCCAATAACACGAGTAGAAAACCTCAATTGTCTGCTCCATCGATTTTACAATCATCTTTTAAGGTAAAGTGAATGTCCTTGTATGCAGTACATGTATAGTTAAATTCTTTAAACTTAACGTTGCTTATTAAACAGCTGTTTCCAATAAAAGCAGTCCCTTTTGTGACACATTAAAAATGTTATATACATGTAGGTGGTAGCCAGGCCTGGGGTCAATTACAATTAAATGTAATCTATTACTATTACTATTACTTGAAAATTTTAACTATTATATTACTATTACTATTACAGCCTTTTTTCAAAGTAATCTATTACTATTACTATTACAACAAAGTATATTACTATTACAATTACTATTACAATACGCCATAGATTTTTATAGGTTACTAATAAAAATAATCTACTTTTGAAGCCATTTTATAGTTTCTAATTAAGAATGCTTTGTTATATTTATGATAAAAAGTCTCAGTACTGAGCAATAGTTCCTGGCTAACGTGCTATTTTCCTATTGTTACTTATTAGTGTAACACTGCAAGTAATAGCTATGTAATATTGAGATTACATATTACTTTGACCATTATTACTATTACTATTACTATTACTTCCTGTTGCCAAAGATTCTATTACTATTACTATTACTATTACTTGGTGCCCTGTAATCGTTACTATTACAATTACTATTACATATTACTATTACCCCAGGCCTGGTGGTAGCCTACATGTAGTATATTGAGGTTGGTTTTTTGAGATGGCGGCTGTTTTTTTATGATTTTCAAACACTTACAACTCTTTTATCTTACGTTGTACAACCTTATAAATGGCTTAGATGAGCTCTCCTTCACTGAGCGATTCTCCTGGTACCTTTTAAGTTGACTATACTGTAGCGGGAGCTTTTTGGAGAATAGGCCCAAATTCAAATTTCTGCAAAATTCTTCTGACTTTTTCTTCTTTCATCTTCTTCTATCAACACGGAAATCTTTAAGCTAGAGAACCACTCAAGTTGGCTTTTACATCATTCCTTTGAGCTTTGGTCAAGGACTAGACATGTGTCTTCGAAAAGAAGCAAAGACAGAGAACACTGGAAGACAAATTCTAGCTGCAGCACTGCGTGGGTTTGTGGTTTGACGCCATTTTACTTTATGCGCACGTGATTAGCATGAATATGATTAACCTAACCACATAATCATATCAGAAACTAAATTATTAATTTAAGAAAAAAGAATGGAAACAAGTAAATAAGAAACATTAAAAATGGAAAAGTAGTTGGATTAAATTGGAAAAAAGTAAAGAAACAAGAGGGTACTCGCAAACTGGTGTGATAACAAATCCTATACCACTGCATGAAAGACATGGCTTCATAGTTGTTATGTAGTAGCCTGTGTAGATGATTACAATGCTGTCAATGCTTTTGGGTAGTATTCTTCATTCTGTGTTTTAGGATTTGTTATCACACCAGTTTGCAAGTACCCTCTTGTTTCTTTACTTTTATCCAATTTAATCTTACTACTTCTCCATTTTTAATGTTTTTTATTACTTGTTGTAATTTGTAGTCATAGTGATATTTGTCTGCTCACCTGATCACCATGTTCACTTGTTATTTTGTAAAAATAATTGCCAATTCCGTTGTCTTGGCTTGGTGCAGTCCTAGTTCTATCACCTTTAATATTATAAAGAAAATACAAAAAGCCCAGTCTTGGCACATCTTGGGCTGCGAGCAGATGAACCCAATTGAGTGACGGAGGACTATGGAGAGACTTTTATGTCACGAGTGCCACAAAGTTGCCTAAAAAAGGTGGAAATATTTATATTCAGTACAAGCCAATAAAAACTTCGCGTTCCGTTTACGTTGAACGGCCGTTGGGCGTTTCAACGCTATATAAAAACGTTTACTTCCGTTTATGGTCCGTTTTTCTATGGAGCACGTTTTTACGTTGGCTCAACGTTTTGTCCTTGCCTCCTTGGTTTTCTTTACTCCACAGATACTACTATGCTCGTTCTCGACTGCCACTCTGGAGATACTGCTGTCATATCAGTTCAGTGTGGACCTCAACTCAAAGAGATGCTGTGTGAGTCGAGGTGTGAAGTACTCGTCTTGTTGGAGGACGGGCCACCAGGCTCGGTGTAGTCTCAATTTATTGTGCGATAAGCATTAGTTGTCAGTATCATTACTATATTTCTATCATTATTTTACTCTTACTTTCAAAAACTTGTATTATATATTATATATTTTTTATTTTATAAAAGATTCAAGCGTCATGCATTTTGATCTTGGTACTAGCAGGTCTATAATTAAATGATTTTATTTTATAAATGATAATAATATAATAGCTGCTTCTTTGCTTGACAGAGCACTCTTTCTTGTGACTACTTCTTGTCGTCCTATTGAATCATACAACATGAGAATAAGGTGGGTGAATTATATAAAAT